TACAATATAAAGCTGCCATTCCTCCATCAAATGGTAGAGTCCTTCCTCACTCTCTTGAATGGAGGCTGGTCCTGTGACTGTTTTGAGCAATCAACTGCGGTAGAGTAAAGAAGTAAAGCTGTGGCAGTTGCAGGTGTAACCATGAAATAGCCTAGCATCTTCCACTCCTTAATTCTTGGAAGTCAGCTACCATGTAACAAGTGCAAATAACCCAAGATTGCCAGGCTGCGAGAAGCCTAAGCCACTGGGAAAGGCTTTGGAGGATGAGATGCCATGCAGTGACAGAGAAGAGAGAGACAGACAGACAAACAAAGGACCATCAAGGTACTAGATATGTGAGAGATGTGGGTGAATGAAGCAGCCATCTTGGGCAATCAGCCCAGACAACCCTTTAGATGACATCAGACCCAGCCACTATCTAACTGCAACTACAGGAGAGACCTCAAGCAAGAAGTACCCATCTGAGCCCATCAACCTAAAGAAACACGAGAAATGATAACAAATTGTTGTTTTAAGTTGCTAAGTTTTCAGGTGACTTATTACATAACAAAAGACTAACAGAAAAACAACCTGGTTGTCCTCAACAGATAAATTACAAGAAAAAACAAACAGATTGATGGAGGGGAAGATGTATGGACTAAAAGTTTATAAAAGATTTAAGATAATAATGTTTGAACCTTATTTGGATCCTGATTTAAGCAAGTAAATTATATTTTTAAATTTATTATGACACATTCATAAATTTAAATACGAACTGGATATTTGATGATATTCAGTAATTTGTTAACTTCTTCTAGACTGATAATGGCATTGTGGTCATGTTTGTAAAAACATGAATTTACATACTTTAGAATTACATACTCTAAAATTTCTGGGTAATATGGAATGCTGTCTAAACTTACTTCAAAGTACTACAGGAAGGGGCATGATCAGGGATTTAAATTATACAAAATTGGACATGAGTTGATAATTGTTAGAGTTGGGTGGTAAATATCTGGAGATATACCATTCTGTCTACATTTATATATGTTTAAAACTTTCCATAATAAAATATTTTTAATAAGAATAAATAAAAATAAAGTGTTCCCAGGTTACCTCCCAGAAGCAAATAAAATCTTCTCTGGAAGGCTTTGAAGTATTTGCAAAGGAAGATTAACTCACTTTAAAAAAAAAAAAATCGCTAAATACATGAGGAAGAAGGACATCAGGAATAAGAGTCAGCAGAAAAAACAAAGTTCAGAATAAAACCTGCAAAGACAGCAAATATATAAAACAAGAAATAAAAGAGTATGAAAGAATAATACAGAAGTTAAGGACTATCAAAATTGAATGGGAAGATTGGGAAAAAAACAAAATAGAACTTCTAAATATAAGAGAGTAATATTCTTAAAAGGAAAATTCAATGGACTGGTTGGTAGTAGAATAGAACTGAGAAGAAAAAATTAGTAAAGAGGAAGATCTGAAGAAATTACCCAAAATATAACACAGAGACCAAGAGATAGGAAATGTAAAAAAACAAAAATAACCAAAAAAAACCCCAGGTCAGTAGAAATGGAGCACAAGATGAGAATGTAGAATAAAATTCTACTTGGAATTCCAGAAGGATATACTAGAGATTGAAAGAGTGAAAGACTTACAAAATTTTATAATTGATAAAAGACAGAAAGATTCAGGAAGCCCAACAGTCCAATATATAATAAAAAGAAATCTATGCTTATATAAGTTATAGCGAAACTCCAGAATAAAGACAAAAAGGAAGATGATAAAAGCATCCAAAAGAAAAGAATAATTACTCACAAAGGAATGAGAATTGCACTGACAGTTCACTTTTATGGAAGTCAGAAATAACAGAAAATCGCTTCTAAGTGCTGGGAAAAAAATAGCTTTCAACCTAAAATTATATATCCAGACATACTATCTTTCAAGAATGAGGGTGAGACAAAAACACCAATGAGAGAGTTAACCCCCCCAAGACCCTCACAGGAGGAAATTTCAAAAGTCAGGTAAATAAGTACTGTTTAAGGGAAATAATTCAGTCAAATGGAAAATATTCCAAAAAGGAAGGTCTGAAATGCAAAAAAAAGAAAGAAAATAGTAAACTTGTACATAATTTTAAAAACTTGATCACGTCTAACTAATTGGGTTTTAAAATCCAGATAACAATAAAATCTGAGTAATAACAAGATATGATTCAGAAAGGAATTTCAAAATTAAAGCATTCTTTACCCCTTAGCATTATTCAGGAAAAGGGCAAAACAACTGACTAACTTTAGAACTTAAATATGCATATTAAAATATGCAACATAATCAGTAAAAGAAACGATACAGTGCTAACTTCCAAACTAATAGAAAAACAAGTAGAACGAAGAAAATAAGGAAAACAAAGCTGTATCAACCCAAAAGAGGGTGAAAGGGAGAATAAAAAAGAAAGAACACAGAGAAAGATAAACAAATAGAAAGCAAAAATAATGTAGTAACAATGGACCCAAATGTATCAGTCATCACCATCGATTTAAATGGATTAAATACTTTACCTAAAAGCAAAGACTGTAAAAATGAATTTTTTAAAAGTCCAGCAGTGTATTATTTACAAAGAGATAGAAGACACAAGGTATATTGAAAATAAAAGAATGGAAAAATATATATCAGTCAAGTGAAAAGTAAAAGTTACCACAGCTTTATTAGTACAAACTAAAATAAGCTCTAAGGCAGAAAGCATCACTAGAAACAGAGTCACATAAAAAGTTCAATTCAGTAAAAAAGACAAACTAGTGTAAATGTGGATGTATTGAATAACATGGCTTCAAAACAAATAAAGCAAATATTCACAGAAACAGAACTATCAGGAAGGAGTACCAAAGTTACAACCGTAACAGGAGATTTTTAATATATCTTTCTGGGTAACTGCATGGATCAAGAAAACAATAAGCAAACGAAGGTATAAAAATTTGATCAATCTAAACTAAAAACTTCACCTATTTTACTGTTTTTTGAACCATTTTGACCCTGACCTTTAATAAGAAATTTATCATGAACATATACATACTATACACATTCACAGGCACATACATACACACGCACACAACATAATTGAAATAAAAGATTCACAAAATATTTACACTTCATAAGCAGAATGGATGACAATATTTTGCTATTTCATTCTATTCAAAAATTTTAAATGCTAGTGGTGATCTTCCTAAACTAATTTTATATTCCACTAATGAAATACAAGCCACAGTTGCTAAATATTAACCGAATGAATATATATTGAATGCATCCAACAAGCGGAAAAGACACATTCTTTTCAAACACACATAGAAATACATATAAAAACTAACAACATTCTAGGACATTCTAATTTCCTGAAGGAAATATGATTTGTAACATCTTTTTTAGATTTAAATGAGGTCTTCGTAAAGTATTATATTGAGATGTGTCAACACAAGGTGATCTATGACTCTGCCAGGTCTTAAAGAACATTAGCTATAATATAATATCTAAAAAATTGTCTTGCTTTTGAATCATTGAGTATTTTCAAATACCACAAATTTCAAGAAATCCATTTCAAACCAACCACATTCACTGACTGCAATGGAATTAAATTAGGAATTAACAAAAGGATAATTTAAAACTCTACATGCTTTGAAAATTTTAAATATGCTTTTAAAAATCTAAGGGTCAAGAAAAAAGCATAATGAAAATTAGAAAATACTTAGAACTGAATAAAATTTAAAAGTTGTCCAAAGTTTTGGGATACAGCTTATAACAGAAATGAAGAAAGATTGGAAATTAATGAGCTGAATATCTAACTTAGGAAATTACAAAAAGAATAACATAAACTTCAAAAAGTAGAAGGTAGGAAATAATAAAGAGCAGAAATGAATGAAATAGAAAACAATGATATAATACAGAAAATCAATATAGTAAAAAACTGCTTCTTCGAAAAAAGACTAATAAAATTAACAAACCTCAGGCTAAAATGATCAAGGAAAATAAAAAGCACAAATCAATAATATAAGGAATTTAATTGGAAAAATAACAGCTTCAGATGAGAAAAATAAAAGATAATACTATAAACAACATTTCAATAAATTTGAAAATATGGGGGAAATGGAAAAAATCTAGAAAAGTTTAAGTTACTAAAGTAGAAAGATAGAAATTGAATGTTTTATAAGCATTAAAACATTTTGATCATTAGTTTTACAAGTTCCACACAAAAACCACCCAGCCCAGATAGTTTTACAAGCATGTCCAATCATTCAAAGAAAAAATAATTGGCATGTTACATATAACAAAAAGAATATTATATTTTGTTTCTTAGAATGGGATGGGAGTGGAACAGGAGGGGAAACACTCCCCAACTCATTTTATAAGGACAGTATATTCCTGACATCAAAATCAGTCAGGAACACTATAAGAAAGGAAAATTGCAGGCCAATGTCACTCTTAAACAGAGATACAAAAATCCAAAAGATAGATAGACAGATAGATATAGATATATATATACATATACATTAGCAAACCAAACCAACTACGTACAAAAAAGAAACTATAATCTACCAGGTTGCAAGGTGGGTTCAACAACAGAAAATCTATTAACATAACTCACCAAGTCAACAGATGAAAGAAGCAAACCCACATTTTTATCTCAATAGTTTCAGCAAAAGCATTTGTCATTGTCTTCATTAAGGACAGTTATCACATTAAAATCAGATCTCCATCTGACGCCAGTAGCTGAGTAGTTAACAGTTTACACCGTCCTCTTTGGTATGAAGGAAATATGATTTGAAACAACTTTTCCAGATTTAAATGAGTTCTTGCTAAAGTATTATATTGAGGAGATGTGTCAACACAAGGTGATCTATGACTCTGCCAAGACTTAAAGAACATTAGCTGTGATGTAACTCCCAATAAAACTGTCTTAGATTTGAATCATTTAGTATTTTCAAATACTAAAATGAAGTAAAAGGCAATGATAACCATTATTATGGAACACTTACCTTGAGTTTATGTTCCTTCCTGTTTACAATCACAGCTGTGATTTGCTGGTCCATGAAAATCAGAATGGTGACCAACAAAGCTGGGATGGCAGCTGCGAGGTACACCCACCAGGGGTTTCCTCCAAAGGGTGGGACAAACCAACCCCGGTTTGGACTTGTTGGCTTGAAGAAAAGAGAAAACAGTTTTCAAACAATATTAATACACACTACTTGGTGAAGAACCAATGAGAGAGACACACTTTCATTTTTGGAAGGCTAGCATATTGAAAAACAGTTTTACTGATATGCTGGACAACAAAGATCATTCACCAAAAATGCCCTAAATGAGGTTATTTTTAAGGCAATATTTTCAATGAAGGAGACTAAGACTATAGGCTAATGGAAAAGAAAGAAATGCTTTTTTGTGTATTCAGGATAATCTAAGACAAGGACTCAAGATGGAAAAAGTGAATTAAGTTTAAGGGGCAGCCATAAGAAAAATCAAATATAATACTCAGTTAAGAGGCAGGCAAGAAATTACAAAACTACTATGAACTTTGTTCTTGGACTTTAGCAATTATACTGAAGTTGGTTCTACTACTGCCAGACTGTAATAATTTCATAATATAATGTATAAAAAGCTACATATATATATATATATAGTGTGTGTGAGGAAGATAGGCCCTGAGCTAGCATCTATTGCCAATCTTCCTCTTTTTGCTTGAGGAAGATTGTTGCTGAGCTAACATCTGTGCCAGTCTTCCTCTATTTTGTATGTGGGACACCACCACAGCATGGTTTGATGAGCAATGTGTAGGTTCCCGCCCAAAATCTGAACTTGTGAACCCCGGGCCACCGAAGCAGAGCACACAAACTTAATCACCATGCCACCAAGCTGGCCCCAAAAAGCTAAAAATATTTTTATATGCTATAATTGAATTTGCTCAAGCTTATCTGGTCTTTCTTATTTAACATATGAAAAATGACGCAGAATAACTGGTTAAATCTTCAGAAATATCACAGAAAATAAAAAATATGGTCATTTTTCCAGTTCTCTGTTTATCCTCTGTCAGAATATCATACATCTCTACTACAGAAGAAAATATTTTCTTATCCTTTTCCTCACTTGAAACAATGCAAATAAACTAAAATAGAATACTATCTATGAATTATTTTCTCCAAATTTACTATCAAGAAAGCCTCACTTCTCCTCTGAAGATATTTCTATCTTCTATCTCAATTTGCTCACAACACAATCACTGAATCTACCCACATTTCACTACTGTTACCAGGTTGTGAGCTTGCAAGGGAAGGAATTTTGTCTTGCTCATCAAGGCATTTCAAATCCTCAGTATAGGGCCTGACTGAAAGCAAATATTCAATAAACATTGCCTTAAATGAACCAATGATTAATGAATAAGAATTTACATTTGCTAATGAATATGTGATGGCAGAGATGACGCAAAAAATATTCTGTTTCCTATAACATAGATATCCCTTCCTCGTTAAATATTTATTAAGCTAAAACTGCAGTTAGTTTAATTTCTCTTAGCATATATATGGTCTCAATGATGGAGAGAGGTTAGGCGTGCTCTAGAAAATAGGTGAAAGACATAATAGAAAATTAGGTAGGGATATTTAAGAATGACTGAAATATAAATTTTACCCATTTGCCTGCACATGTCAACAGGTTTATAAAATATCTAATTTCAATATCTTCCTTGTAATAATTAAAATGCTCCCTATATATAAATGTGTGTGTATATGGCAGGTAGTTTCCCAGCAGGAAAAGAGCAGTGAATTAGTAATGTAATCTTGGGCATTTCACTTAATTTTTGTGAGCTTCAATCTCAACTTCATAAAATCAGGATGATGACAGTTACATCGCATCCTCGAATTATTATATGGATCAAGGTGATAAGGTGTATGAAAATACTTTGGATATTCTAAAATACTCCAAAAATATAAAGCAGAGTTTGTACTGTTATTATAAGGTATTTTTCAATAAAAGTCAATATAATGTGAATCTTGCATTTAATTCCAGTCAGGTATTTAATTTTTGTGAAGAAATAGACAAAACATATACACTCACGTGTTGCTTAATGACGGGGATATGTTCAAGAAATGTGTCATTAGGCGATTTTAGATTTTATCACTGTGCAAACATCATAGAGTGCACTTACACACACCTAGATGGTATAGCTTACTACACATCTAGGCTATATGGCACTAATCCTTTTTTTTTTTTTCTTTAGGAGTTGAGCTGTTTGTGTTTGGTTGTGGCAATCACTGCTTTCCTTTTTTTTTTTTTTAAGATTGGCACCTGAGCTAACAACTGTGGCCAGTCTTTTTTTTTTTTTCTTAAAGAACGGCACCTGAGCTAACAACTGTTGCCAATCTTTTTATTTTTTCTGCTTTATCTCCCCAAATCTCCCCTGGTACATAGTTGTATATCTTAGTTGCAGGTCCTTCCAGTTGTGGCATGTGGGATGCCGCCTCAACTTGGCCTGACGAGCGGTGCCATGTCCGCACCCAGGATCCGAACCAGCAAAACCCTGGGCCGCCAGAGCAGAGCACACGAACTTAACCACTCAGCCACCGGGTTGGCCCCTATATGGTACTAATCTTATGGGACCACTGTCATAGATGCATTGATCTAACCATCATTACGCAGTGCCTGAGTGTATATGCACCTAGCCAGAGACCATTTTTGAAATAAAGAAATGGATAATTATGCAAAATTAACTTACAGATATGACAAACTAGAATAGAGAAAAGGAAAGAAAGCCAGAGTTCCAGGAACGACCAAAAGACATTAGTTCACCTACCTTGAATTCACTTGGCACAATTAGTTTTGGAGTATCCACACCCACCAGGGCATCTATTACACAGAAGATGAGAATGGACAAGATAATGGCAAAGTCACTGATCAGTTTCCTTGCCTGAAAAAATAAAAAAAAAAAACAGGGACTGGGTACATATATTTGCCTGTGTTTGAACTGAACAAAGAATCCCGTAGTTGCTAAAACAGTTTATAGTAACAGCTTCATCAACAAGTTAAAGGAGGTGTCACATTGCAGAGAGATTATTTTTTAAATTGTTATAATATCACATTCTCACCTGGCCAGAAATAATCTAATCCCACAGAACACGTCACTCTGTGTGTGTGTGTGTGTGTGTGTGCGCGTGTGTGTAGGCAGGAGAGGGAATCAAAGATAATATATCCCTGAAATACTGTATAAACACTCTTCCTGTACACAGCACAAAGGAGACCTGGATAAGGATGAAATCTCAAGGTGTATTGTAAAAATCTGCACAAAAACATAGAATTTTGTTTATTATTTGGGAGGTGGCATTGTTAGTACAGAGCAAGATAAATTCCATAAGGTGACCTGAAGACACCAAGAATCTAGCAGGGAAGTAGTTACAAGTTCCAGTCCATTGAGTAGACTCAAGACCTCAGAGAAACATAAAGTGATGGAAGATGGAAATTTGATGGCTTCGCTAACTTTGTCAAGGAAAATATTTTTCACTCTAGGCTAATGCTTAAAATCACCTATATGTAAACCATCTTTTCTCCACCCCTCCTTTTTTTTCTTTTAAAAGGTTGGCACTTGAGCTAACATCTATTGCCAATCTTCTTCTTTTTTTTCTTCTTCTTCTTCTCCCAAAAGCCCCCCAGTACATAGTGGTATATTCTAGTTGTAGGTCCTTCTGGTTGTGCTACGTGGGATGCCACCTCAGCATGACTTGATGAGCGGTGCCATGTCTGCCTGTGCCCAGGATCTGAACCGGTGAAACCATAGGCCACCGAAGTGGAGCGTACAAACTGGACCACTCAGCCACGGGGCCAGCCTCTCTCCATCACTTCTTAAGTGTGGTTGCCATTAGTAGACAACCTTCAAACTTCCTAAGTACCTGTCTCTGGTCAGGGCAAGGGCTGGGCTTTATGGGATGTAGCATTAAAACCAAACCTTTCCTACGGAGTGGGTGCAGAATGGCCACTTCTGAGTCAATAGGGGAGCATGGGACCATTCAGTTGCTTGGCGGTTTCTCTGTGGTGACAACGGCCTAGGAGCATTACCAGAGCACAGATATCTGAGTTTCCCCATCAGGTATGTACACATGGTAGTGCAAATCTGATCATTCAACAACAATTGACTCAGTAGCTAATACTTTGCTTGGCGTCAGCGATACCACAGTGAACAAAACAAACACAATGCATGTCTTCATGAAGCTCACAGTGAAGTCATATATAAGGAAGCCTGCTCCTAAACAAAATCAGAGTTGATTCAGCAGTTACCAAGTTGTCTCAGGGTGAGTGAGCAGTCAGTTTTCTGGTGCTGCTAGATGAAGAGAGATCAGTGATGGGCTGAGTGACTTCCCAGTTCTCAGGACAGGGGGTCTTTTGAAAGAGTAGCAAGACTACTATGTCATGTGTTCAACAGAAACTGGAGTGAAGAATGGAATTACTCAGTGTTGTGGGTATGCTGAAGTGCTCACATCTTGATGGTCACTAGGTGTGATGAGCCTTGGGTACTAACTAGCAGCAGGATCATAGAGGCCCTTTTGGCCAGGAGTTCCTTTCCTCTTAGAGGGCTGAATTCTTCTAGGTTTAGCTTTATTGATAAGTACACACAGAGGAGCAGAAAGCCAGCTATGGGACCTTTTAGGGGCAAGTTAACACCAATCACACACAATAATTCCAAGCACAAAAAGATGGCAGGGGTCAATTTGGAGAGAAAATATAGTACAGCAGTTGGAAGCACAGTTTCTACAGTCAGATTACCTGGGTTGGAACTCCAGCACCATTATTTCCTGTCTGTAAATACTTATCCTTTCTTAGCTTCAATTACTCCATCTTTAAAATGCAGCCAAAATAATCCCTACAACTTCGTTGGTTTGTAATAAGAATTAAGTAAGATAAGCTATAAAAGTGCTTAACCTAATACCTGGAACACAATAAACTCCCCTAATATATATTAACTATGGTTAGTTCAAGTTCCACAAGGCCTCTTGGGTTGCAGAACCCACTGGAATAGCTAAATAATCTACTGTCAGGAGGTCTTTGAAAGGAATCTTGAATTCCAAGAAACAAGAAATAAAAGCTCAGTAATAACATGGAACTGCCACTCAGAGTTAATTTTGGATGGAAGTATCTGGAATCCTGCAGAAGAAGGGTGTTTCCCAGGGGCTCAATACTGGAGGAAACTCCCATTTCTTAAGTTTTGTGAGAGTCAGTGTTGACACAGGCAGCTCAGGATGGTCTAGCAAAAGATGGTCATGTGAAGCAGTTTTAGGAATATATTAAGATATTACAACAATCTCTCTGGTCTAGTAGGTCAAAAATCGCTGGAAGACCAGAGGTCATTGCCAAGGCAAAAAATTTTTCTCTTCTTCGTCACCATCCCAATCCTTACCCAGCGAATCCAACTTGCTGGCAACTCAGATACCCTAGAAGTTGTTCAAAAAGGAGGGAACAGTTATTAAAAAGACAGTGCTCTTCCTTTTTCTTCCATCGACAGCAGAAGGGAAGTAGAGGGTAGCAAATGAATGCAATCTGCAATTCCTTGGTAGAAATTCCCACAGGGCCTATACTTCTGGCCCTGCTAGAAGACAGGTCTGCTTGACTGGAATCACTCCCTGGAAAGGTTGCTTCCTTAGTTAGGAGAGGAGGCATTCTCAGCCTTCCATAAATTGAACACTGAAGCCCTAAACCTGCTCTTTTGGTAGTTTTCTCCCTCTTAATTAACAGCGGCTTATTTTTCCCTATTGCTCAGGCCAAAAACTTTGGACCATCCATGTGGCTCTTCTCTTTCTCTCACATCCTACATCTAACAGGTCAGCAAATTACCTTCAAAACATATACAGGATCCTGTCCCTTCTCACCACCTCCATGGCTATTACCACCGTGGTCTAAGCCACCACTTTATCTCATTCGTTTCCTGCATTACTGTCCTATCTCATCTCCCTGCTTCTACACTCGCCCCCTGTACACTGCCAACATATCACCCAGAATAATCCTGTTAAAATTCAGGTCAGATAATGTGGTAGGCAGAAGAACGCCCCCCTAAGGATGTCCATGGCTTAATTCCTGGAACCTATGACTATGTAATGTTATGTGGCTAGAGAGAATTAAGGTTGCAGATAGAATTAAGGTTGCTAATCAGTAGACTTTGAGATTAGGGAAATAATCCGGGATTATTCAGGTGGGCCTAATGTAAGCATTAGCGTCCTTATGAATGAAAGAGGGAGGCAGGAGAGTCAGTGTCAGAGTGATGCAGCATGAGAAAGACTAGACTGGCCATTGCTGGTTTTGAAGATGGAGGAAAGGGGCCATGAGCCAAAGAATGTGGGCAGCTTCTAGAAGCTGGAAAAAGCAAAGCAACACATTCTCCCCCAAGGTCTTCAGAAAGAATGCAGCCCTGTCAACACTTGATTTTAGTCCACTGAGAACCATTTCAGACTTCTGACCTCCGGATGTCGACAATACATTTTTGTTGTTTTAAGCCATCATTTGTATAGTAATCTGATAAAGCAGGCATGGGAAACTAATAACTAATATAAACAAGTAGCTTATATATTTTAGTTTAGTTGTAAGTTTCCCAAATTTATATACATATATAACTTTGGAAGAATCCTTCGACAATGGTATTCTTGTCAAGTGTGGCACTACTATACTGCAGGCATCAAAGTAGCTAAAAAAGACACACACTAATAAACCTCCAGATTACCTTTCTTAAAATTTATGGGAAAAAACGCTACTCTATTAATAATACTGCTTAACCTCATTAAAAATCACAGCCAGGGTGACATGTTCTGTATAATATACTCATTTCTATTTCCCTTTGCTTCTCCTTAAATTGTACAATACAGTTCAGTTACAGCAGAAATCACTCCTGGAGAGTGTTTATCGTACGACATTCATTTCTAAGATGTTGGATCCAGTTTAAACTTTATAGTCAAGGAAATTGATTTTTCCCAGGCCACTTTTGTATTCAACTCTAAACTCTCTAATTGGAGAAAGCACGTAGGGGTGCTATTTTAGCAGGCTATTCAGGTCTTACCCTATCCTAAAATTAAACTTTAATTTGAACGATGCAAAACTGACATAGAACTAGAAATTGCCCTAAAGATGGCAATCACTGAGTGCACACAGCCTACGAGATGCACTCTAAGCCCTGTGTACAGGAGCTTTCAGTCTGACTGTAAGGAAATAAAAATCGCTCTCTTTGGGGCCCATCTCACATTTCCAAACATATTTAGAAAAAGAGACATATATGAATTGCCTATCATTTTTTTTGCTTATTTCACCTTCCATTTCCATCAAGCTTAACCTCTTTCCAAAACTCTAAAATGGCTTTATCTTACATAAGTCAATATATAAATAAAGAAATCAAATTAGAGACCCATAGTTCCTAATTCCCTACTAGTTATTGCTGGTAATGATTAGAAGTAGAAGTGCCAAAGTTTTCATGAGAAAAACTGTTTCTACAAGATTTCATACCCAATCTTGTGGATTCAGAGGCCTGAAACCTAGCTTGGACAAACACCATAACTTGAGGGTGTCCGTCCAACCTAACGCTGTCTGTCTCTCCAGGCTCAAACTTCAATATCCTAGGAACATAAACTATCACATTCTAAGAGAAATAAAAATTAAAATAACTCATATATAGGGGCCGGCCTGGGGGCGCAGCGGTTAAGTGAGCACATTCCGCTTCGGTGGCCCGGGGTTCACCAGTTCAGATCCCTGGTGCGGACATGGCACCACTTGGCATGCCATGCTGTGGTAGGCATCCTACATATAAAGCAGAGGAAGATGGGCACGGATGTTAGCTTAGGGCCAGTCTTCCTCAGCAAAAAGAGGAGGATTGGCAGCAGTTAGCTCAGGGCTAAACTTCCTCAAAAAAAAAATTAAAATTAAAATAACTCAAATATATCA